AAGAGATGGAGAGAGAATAGAGAAGAAGGAGGAGAAGAAGAAGGAGGAAGAAGAAGAAGAAAGAGGATGAGGAGAAGGAGGAGAAGAAGAAGAAGAGAAATACTACTAATACTACTGACCACCTGGATATTACAGAATCCAGTCAGGCTGACAAAGGCATCCATTTCAACAGATTATGATATTTCAGGTTTGCAAAATGAAGGAGTTCTATCCACAGATACTGGTTAGCTGCACAATATACCTATAATAAATACCACCAAACAAAACATAATAAACTCTATGTGATGTGTTTCACAATAAAAGGAAGAAATCATAACTATAGTAAATCTAATTAGCAAAACCTGTATCTAGCTGACATTCTTCTTATTCTCTCTCAGGCCTGCCTTCAGGATTGCAGTAGCTGGCATTTTGTCATTACTCTGTATATAGATCACACACACACACACACACACACACACACACACACTCCAACTTGTAGTGGGAGCCTCATGGCAAACAGCATCATATGATAAAGAGCACAAAAAAAGAAGTATCATGGCAAAGGAGCAAACATGAGGACCAGGGTTTGCTCTCAGGAACTAATCCACTCACGAGAGAACCTCTTACAACTGGTGCCCAGATTATCTCTTCATGGAGAACTGTTAATTGCAACATTCTCGAGAAATAACCAGCTCCACAACTGCCTGAATTAAAGCGAGCTGCATTTGGGGTACCCAAAGCTTGCCAGCCATCTGTCTCCCCTAAGTTGAGGTTTTTGAGAGTAGCCCCCGCTGGCCTCTCCAAATCCCTTTTAATAGGTGGAAAAGGTGTTCACAATGGGTGAGGGGTTTGGTAGTTATCTATTGTTAAAAAGATATAATGAAAGGGATGGGGGAATGCCCTTCTGTATATATGTTTCTCTTATTGGTTGATGAATAAAACACTGTCTGGCCAATGAAGCAGGAAGATAGGCAGAACTAGGATGAGGAAAATTCTGGGAAACGTAGGCAGACAGAGTCGTCATGTAGAGTCCAGAAAGAGAGGATGCGCCAGGCATTCTCTGGTAAGCCAAGACCACGTGGAAATACATAGATTATTAGAAATGGGTTAACAATTAAGACAGAGCTAGCAATTAGAAGCCCAAGCCACCAGACAAGAGTTTTATAACTAATATAGCATCTGTGTGTTTACTTGGGGTAGAAGGGCAGCGGGACCAGTCTGAACAAAGAACCTCTCACAACAAAGGCAAGAATACACACCAAGTGAATGGGGGTTAAAAGTAGTTTACATCAGGCCAGGAATTTAAGAGATTAAATAGAAGCCTCAATTAGCAGGGACTTGACATTGGACATAGGACTTATGTCTTAACTAGGAACAGACAGGAACTGTTTTGACCAAAACCAGAACCTTAACCTGCAAGGTATATTCTTGGTTTCAGTTTGCCATTAATCTGTGTGGTATTATTTTCAGTTTCTGTTTTACAGAACCAAGGAGCAAGGCATCTGAAGAAGTGTTCCTCCCATTAGGCCCTTCCTCTTAAAGGTCCTCCCACCTTTCAAACCTGCCAATTGCCAAGCAAGCTTCCAGTACAAGAAACTCTGAAGGAGAAACTACACGGAAACCGTGTCCAAGTCACAAGTAGAGAGCCACTGGCTTAAGTAGCTGCATCTTGATGTCTGGTAGAAGGAAGCATGAATCTCCAGAGGAATATCTCAACCCAAGCCCCAGAGGATTCCCAGGATCTTGGGAAATTCTAAGCCTCAGATGCCAATGAAAAGCAACAAAGATAAACCCATGAAAACATAAAATCGAAAGCCATAACATATAGGCAAATGACCAATAAGGTCACAATTCTTTAAAAATAAGATCTGGCTTTGAGTTTTTCATCTACTGCTGGGCATGGGGCCTGGCCTTTAGTGTGGTTTGTATACCCTGTGAGACTCTGTTACCTCCATTAGAGAAAACTAACTTTTCCTTTGCAAATAGTTGCCAAATTGAGCTAGATTCTTGGTTAGAGATGGGAGATCATGTCCACTTCTCCCTTAGTGCTGGGACCCATCTTGCTTGGACTTGTACAGGTCCTGTGCACACTGCCACAGTCTCTGTGAGTCTGTATTATGACAGTTCTGTTGTATCTGGAAGGTATCGTTTCCTTGGTGGTTTCTATACCCACTGCCTCTTACAATCTTTCCACCTCCTCTTCCTCAAAGTTGAGAGAAATGTTGTTCATCAAAGATACGTAAATCCAAGGCAGACAAGACTAATCTGGTTCTTCCCTTTGCCAGTGAAGAGTTAACTATATTTGATGCTTCAGATACATGTGTAGCAGCATTAAGTAGGCATTTCTGCCCAAACTGTTCCGACCCCTCCTGGCCTCCACTTCTGAGCTCTAACACCTCCTGGCCTCCTCCCCTGGCCTCCAATCCCTCCTGGCCTCTTTCTCTGAGCTATACTCTGAGCCCAAGTCCATAATCCAGCTGTAATCAGCATGAACTGAGCACACTATCTGCCTCCAACCAAATGATTTCTTGTGGCCTCAGATACATATTTTGATTGACAGGAGAAATTTTAATAAATATTTTTCATATTTTTTAAAAAAATATGTAATCCATTATACTGTTAGAAAGAGAGGCATCTGCTTTAAAGAGTTATAGCTCTTACCAGCCACTATCTTTCCTAAGGAACAAGACAGAATAGATAGAGCAATAGAAATACAACAATATGTAGTTTCTTTCTCCTACTCAATTCATTCAGCTATGCTGGCTTTTTGTTGCTGTTTGTTTGTGTTTTATGTGGTTTTCTTTGGGGGGGTGTGTTTCAGTTTGCTTTTTAAATAAGGTTTCTTGTATCTCAAGTGGGTCTTGGATTTACTATGTAGTCCAAGATGATCTTGAACTGATCCTTCTGCCTCTCCCTCCCAAAAGCTTTCTGAATGCTAGGCAAGCACTCCACTCAGGTACACACCCGTTCTCCTCTTGAGCGTACTGAGTAAATAGTAAACACCATGACTCTTAAGAGCTTAAAAGTAGTAACAGCATATCATCTATGGGTTTTTGTTTGTTGTTTGTTTGTTTTAAGATTTATTTACTGTGTATACAGTGTTCTGCCTGCAGGCCAGAAGAGGGCCCCATATCTCATTATAGATGGTTATGAACCACCATGTGGTTGCTGGGAATTGAACTCCTGCTCTTAACCTCTGAGCCATCTCCCCAGCCCCTAGGGTAGCTCCTTCAACACAGGAAAGAGTGACTGTTATTTTGGCTGCCCCACCCAGCCCCGAGAGAGGGTTTGTCTGTGTAGCCCTGGCTGTCCTGGAACTTGCTCTGAACAACAGGCTGGCCTTGACCTCAGAGAACTGCCTCTGCCTCTTGAGTGCTGCTTTCTCCTTGTCTCTCCACAATATTCATAAATAAGATTTTTTTAATCGATGGTGTCCTCAGCTAGAGAAATATTCAGCTGTCTGTGTTCTATCCTCTTCCTCATTAGAATACATTTGTTTGAGACAAGGTCTCCTTATGTCACCCAACCTGGCCTTGAACCAGCCAAGGATGATCTGGTCTCATTCTGTTTCCTCCTTCGTAATACCAGGGTTACTGGTGGGCATCACCACCCCATTTTATGTTGTTAGGGAATACAATGTAAGATGTCAATCCATTTACTTGTTCAACTGAGTCACTGGTGTACAAAGTCTGCAGTAGGATGTTCCTGAAAATCTTGTGGTCAGCCCGCTCCCTTATAAACAAAGAACAGTAACTTTTAGTACACAGAGAAGGTACTGGGAGGACAATGACTTGGTGAGGGCTACATTTCCTTTGGAGAAATCTGGAAGGCAATGCCAAGACTTGGTTTGAGGACATATTGAATGCCTATGGATTTGATATGGCAGGTCTTAAAAAAAAATTTAAGCCTATATATGGGTAATTTAAATAAGCCTATATAAGGACTATATCAGAATCCTCAACAAGTTCCCCTAAAGCTACCAAAGTCTTAAATATGTTGTGAGAGCTACTGTTTTATAGTAAAATGTGGCAGTGTTGTGTCAGAAATAGGAATTATAAATTAGGGGCAGTTCAAAAAAATGAATAGCCAGACCTCTCTATGGATTCAACATCCATGGATTTAAAAAAATAATAATAATAAAAAAAAAAAACAGATCACATCGCATCCGCGTCTCTGTCTCGCGCTCACCGCTCCCAGCTGATCAACACCACAACAGCTGCGACCCGAAGACAGAACCCAGGGAAAGGACAGGCGCTCTTTAGAATTTGGGGTCTGTACTTGGAAGAGCAATGAAGAAAACTTCGAGTGTCAGAAGTTAGCGTGTCGGAGAGTTTGATTTAAAGTGCAAATGAAAAGTGTGCTAACAAAACTTCCATCCCCAATAAGGTCAGAAGGGATGCAAGTCCAGTGGATTTCCAAGAATCAGGTCAAATCCTGTTTCTTCCTAAGAGCTTGCCTGCACATGCTCCTTTTTTTCTACAAACATTGAGGGAGGGGAACAGGAACTCCAGGCGGAGATCCTACATGCCCAAAGTGCCGCACCTTCCCTAGCTCTGGGCGCTAGGTCACTGGGAGAGCGGGAAGGTTTAGCCGAGTGAAGGTCACCAGCAGGCGTCCACTCCGAGGCTGGTGCAGTTGCGCCAGACAGAGTCTTGATCAAGCCCGGGTAAAGGTCGCCAGCTGACCGGGCGGCAGTCGTGGCACTCCCCGCGGGCGGCGGCCCAGGAAGTCTTCAGTCGAGTCCTCGCTGAACCACGCCGCGCCCTGGACCCCGAGGTTGCCCCCGCCCCGCCACCCACACTCATAAGCTCAGGAACCCGAGGGCGACGTCACCGTGCCTACGCCTGACATCAGAGCGCCTGTCGTAAGTGCCGGGCAAACGAGGCCTTCAGAGGAAGGGCGCCCTCTGGGCACATCCTAACATGCTAGCCCGCATGCGCGCGCACCTCCGCTGGCGCGGTCCCGACTCTAAAGCCAATGAGACGTGGCTACGTCACGTCGCAGCGCCCGGCGCTGCCGTACGTCGAGCCGCGGGCCCGCATGACAAGTGCGGTTGCACCGACACCGGTACATAGGCGCGGGCCGGCGTGTCCTTGGGCTAGAGAGCGGGACGTCCGTCTTCGGGTCGCAGCCGTTGTGGTGCTGATCAGCTGGGATCGGTGAGCGCCTGACAGGGACGCGGGGCGGGAAGGGTGCGAGGAGGCCCGCGCGGGTCCGACCTAGAAGGGCATGCAGGACTGCGGCAGGGCTAGAGGCGGCGTGGGCGCAGGGCCGGGCCCCCGAGTGCTAGAGAAGACTCGCCCACTGCCCTTTCAGAGAGCAGAGGCTGCTGCTACTAAGCACCTGGACGGTTCTTTTTTTGTTTTGTTTTTTGATCAGGCATCCGGAAGGGTAGGTTTCTTCATTTTCTATTTTCCCTGACTGGCCTGGATGGGATGACCTCGTGGTCACCCCCGGGATCTCGGGAGAGGGAGAAGGTTCCTGCCCCAGCCCTCTCTTGCAAGAGAGTGACTTAACCTCCAAATGAAACCAGAGTAGCTGAAAGCACTTACGACATCCTCCCCCAACCCCATTGGTGTATTTTGGTATTTTGTCGTGTCTTTAATTGCCAGCACAGGCAGTAATTAAGCACCCTGAAACGTTATAATTGCAGTGGTTTTGGTTTAATGCATTTGTAGTCCAATTTCATATTTGTGACTTTTTGACCTTCTTCTGAGGTTTTAGTTGGGTTCCCACTTACCTTCCTTGGGCACTACCCTATCATGAACATAGATCGGCCTTAAAAATTGTGTGTGTGTGGGGGTCTCCTAATTAGTGTGTTAGCTGTTGAAGAGTATTGCAAGTGGACTGAGTAAGGCAGTATCTGGTCTAGTGTTAAAGGACATAAAATAGCAGTGGGTTGGTAGTCGGGTGATTTGAATGGTGTTAGGATTCGTTGTATGTGTTGCAGGAGTTATTTGAACTGTTGTTGGGTCTTTTCATTTTTAGAATTAAAAATGGGTGATGTTGAGAAAGGCAAGAAGATTTTTGTTCAGAAGTGTGCCCAGTGTCACACTGTGGAAAAGGGAGGCAAGCATAAGACTGGACCAAATCTCCATGGTCTATTTGGGAGGAAGACAGGTCAGGCTGCTGGATTCTCATACACAGATGCCAACAAGAACAAAGGTAAGTGGGGCTGTTGGGTGTGTTTAATCACAGCAGGGGTTGCATTTCTGATTGCGTGGGGTAACCAATGACAGACATCAGGAGTATAAAACACCTAATCATTGCATCCCTTTCTGTTTAGGCATCACCTGGGGAGAGGATACCCTGATGGAGTACTTGGAGAATCCCAAAAAGTACATCCCTGGAACAAAAATGATCTTCGCTGGAATTAAGAAGAAGGGAGAGAGGGCGGACCTAATAGCTTATCTTAAAAAGGCTACTAATGAGTAACCCCACTGCCTTATTTATTACAGACAAATGTCTCATGGCTTTTAATGTGTACTATAACTTAATTCATACACCAAGATTCAGATCATGAATGGCTAATAATGTTTTTGTTGGTCAGTCCTGATTTAAGTAAAACTGACTTGTAGTAAAGTGGGTATGATCTTTTTTAAAATAACAATTCCAGTTGCATAAATAATATCACTGCTCTCCTTTTCTCGAGATAGGGTTGGGCTTAATTACTTAAGTTCTACTTTCCACAAAGATGGATATATCACCTCAAACCTGTTGGATGGCTTTATACTCAAATCTATATAACTGGGCAGCTGGGCATGTTTAAACACTGGGAAAATTCTGTTACTGTCTCAGAAATTAGAAGACTCGCCTGTGTTTCACTTTGTATTCACTGGTCTGTTACAGGCAATGGCTAAGCACCAGGAAGTAACTGTCTATTCCTGACATGTCATTTTAATTAGAATTCCCTAAGTCAAAGGATGCTGCTGCCTTTTACCAATGAAAGGCACTTACTGTGGTCTATATATAATATCAAATAAAGAGTATTTAGCATTTCTTTATAGTTAATCTATTAAGTTAAAATACTTTTAGAAACCAGCAACTTACACCGAATTCTTAACTATCTAAGACTTAAGTTGTAATTCAGAATTGTCCTTAAAAGACCATTCAGAAACACACAAAACTGGAACTCCTTATATGTGTGATTGGTGGTGACACTCTTTGCCAACTTATTAGATGGAAAGATTAAAATAAAGGAGATAGTTTGTAAGTTATCAACAATAAGAACATAATTAAAAGCAGTCACAGATGGAGAACACTTGATTGCTTTGTTTAATGACTGTTGACAAAGTTAGTTTAAACTTTCCCTAATGTAAAGCCGTGGTCAAGTGATGGTGTTAACCTTGACCTCTGGGACAACTCAAACTAGAGCAGCACTTCACCCTTCACTGAGCAGAATGTGATGTATAAAGGGGAAATTTGCACTCACTAGGAAGTGTTAGGGAAATGAGGATGATAACAGTGTCTTGGCTGGGGAAAAGGCCTCATGGATGACTTCACGAGTGTGAAGATTAAGTAGATAGACCTCCAAACTCTGACAAAGCACTTTGTGACACAAGTCTTATTCATATAAGGAATAGAAAGCAGTCTGATGAAACAAATTTGGAGTTTTAAGCGGATGGATAGAGCTGGGTCTTTTGTTTTTAAGATTTATGTGTATGTGTGTTTTGTCTGCACTTATGTGTGTACTACACATGTAAAATATACCCCTGGGGGCCAGGTGAGGGTGCTGGATCCCCTGGGATTGGTGTTACCGAAGGGATCTTCAGTGTGGGTGCTGGGAATCCAAGCTGGGTCCTGGATCAGCCAGTGCTCTTACACTGAGTCATCTTCTGCCCTGATAGGTGTCTTACTAAGTCCTTCAAAGGTTGAGCCTCTGTAACACAAAACTTGTTGACTATTAAATTTTAGTAACAGCTTTCAAAGGACAGCAATTGGGAGACAGAGGCAGGCGTATCTCAGTGAGTTTGGGGCCAGCCTAGTCTACAGAGCTAGTTCCAGGACAGGCTCCAAAGCTACATTGACAAACCCCATCTCAGGAAAAATTAATAAAAATAAAAAACATACACACAGTTAAGTTTCACTGGTTCAGAACTTTGCCAAATGGCAAAACAAGGTTGTGTTGCTCATATCATAAATGGGCAAAGCTTAAAGGTCACCTAGATGAATTACCTTGTTAGCTGTCACACAGACTACAGTGATGACTGCACTTTCCAGGGTGATTTATAAACTTCATAGGAACTGAGTTATCATTTTTAAGAGATTTACTAGCTGGATGTGGTAGTATATGCCTTTAATCCAAACACTAGGAGGCAGAGACAGAAGGCTCTTTGAGTTCAAAGAGTCTAGACTACAGAGAGATCCTAAACAGTGAAGGTTATCTAGGGAAACTTCCAAAATAATGATTTATTTATGTTTTATGTGTATGACTATTCTGGGTCCTCTGTAAGATCAGCAAGTACTCCTAACTACATAGTCATCTTCTAATATAGATAACTTGCTTTAATAGGAACTGGTTTGCTCTAGGGCTGTGCTCCTGTAGCCCTCACAGATGGAACCAACTCAGTCTCCACATTATCCTCAACAGGAGCTTCATGACTAAGGCATCTTCCAGATCATTCCTGACACAGACATGCTAATGGGATCTCACCTACAAGAACCTATCGTCTCTGCTGCCCATCATCACAGCACTTGAGCTGGCTTAGGCTCTCTAACACCCTCTCTTAATCATCTACCTATCAGTGAATGTCTGGTGATTTACCTGGACTAACCAAAACCCCAGGCCCCTGTCATTTTCTTGTGACCTCTGTCATTAGCCAGCCTCTTGGGATCTCTTCTCAGTCTTGAATTCTCCATACCCTCTGTCTTAGTTATTTGTGATTCCTTTTGCATCTGCTCTGGAAACTCAGCTATCTGCTTTCTCCATTCCTATTCCTGACTTGAGTCTTGGAGGAAACCCCATGTTTCTATGGTCAGCCCCCCTGTAATCAGGTCAACTCTAAATCCACTGAATCAATAGACACCCTATCAGACTGTCATTTATATATCCAACTTCCCAGTTTGGCAGCTATTGTCATACTCCTTGAGCACCTTAGCCCTCCCCTGCCCCCTCTCCCATTTCCAATAGGGGTTCTTTACCTCCTGGTTACAAGGAAGAGTCTTGCTGTCTGCCTTGAGCAATGAATGCTGTTCCTAATCTAGAGATGGCACAGAAGGCTCAATCACACCATCAGTAGCTCTGCACGATACAGATAACCTCGGGATAATATAACACCCTTAGCATCCCTCTCCCAGAAGATGCAATGCTGGATGCTTGCTTGCTTTTTGGTTCAGGACTCTCCTTGGGCAGCCACACCATAATACAAATATGCTGTGTGTATACATTCTTAAGTCATAGCTTTTCTTATTTAGCATCAGTAATGCCTTTGTAATTGTTCCTACCCAAAATAGGCCTGTATAGGTCCAGACTAGAGATGACATACCTTTCCAGCTAGAGTTATAGGTGAAACTCAGAGACTTTCTAAATCATGTCCACAGAATTTGTACATCATATAGTTAAAGCATGACTTTTTGTAGCTTTTACTGGTAAAGGTTGGAGGAAAACAGGCCCCAAAGAGTTTGAGCCCTCTTCTGACAGTGACAGAATCAAGCACACTAATCTTGTGTACCCTAGATTCCTATCTGTAAGCTGACATTGTACTAGCCCCTAGAGTTGTGAAGATTTAAGAAATTGTATGTGGCATGTTAACCATTCCATTAGCTAGTTTTGGACCTGCTGGACCAGGCATACTGCTGTACTGCTTACAGTTATAATTAGGAATAAAGGGCACATGATTTTTCCAAGTGGAGTGGACCTGAAGCTCACTGAAACAAGTGCCATTAGAGACATGCCATGACAAAGGCATGCCGTTCTGAAAGTTCACCTATCCTTGTATAAGATAAGAATTATGAATTGCAACCTTCACATTCCCCTAAGAGCATCTAAACAGGGCTGAGTTTGATTAAAAGAGTGGACGCACTCATCTCCTAAATGCATCTAGTTTTCTAGTAACCTGACAAAATTTTGGTTAGTTTGTTGTTTTGGTTGGTATGTTGTTATTCTGAGACAGTGCTTGAGGTTGGTCTACTTGAGATCCTCCTCCCTTTACCTCCTAAGCTCCGAGAATACACGTGTCACCACACCTGGCTGGCTGTTCTTAACTCATTTGCAGGTGCAAGTCCTAGCTAACTTTTCCTGAACCTTAATGGTTGTCTCAACAAGAGTGGAGACAAATTGAAATGGTAGTGTTTGCGTTCGAGGCAGAGTGGGGTGGGGAATGTTGAGTTGGCCACCCAGTCTTTGGCTTCCCTAGAGATTCAATATAGGTTGAAACAACGTGCTGCCTAGGAAACCCCTGCCTGCGAAACTGGGAAAAGCCGGTCCTAGTACCTAGCCCACTTGTTTGGAGTAGTATTAAGTAGTTGTTCTGTTGATGGATGTTGGTTCTGGAACAGCAGCTCTTGAGTGATTCTAGGGTGGAGAGTGTGTAATACAACAAAGCTCAGTGTGCGCTAGCCCAGTGAATAGTTTGCCGAGTGCATAGGTTAGAGATGAGAGGAAAGAGATCATGAGAATTAGACTAGATTAGGACATGTAAAAATTTTTTTTCTGGGGGAGTGTGTGGAAGTAATAGAAAAGGTTTGCCCATTTCAGCACATCTCAAGGTGGTAAGGGGTGGTTTTTGTTGATTCAAGGTTGGGTCAAGAGTCAAGTAAATTCTCAAATGAAGGGTAGCTATATCCACTATGTTGTTTAGTTAAGAGACCTGCTTGAAGATTCTGATAGCTTTCTTCCTGTCCTCCAACATAAATCTGATAAGCAGGTTAGTTAGCATCAAGGTCTGTATTGGGTAGTGTGCAGTCAGGGCTGAAACAGTAGCAAGCAGAATACCTTGGCAGTGGAAAGAATGTATCATAACCAAACCCAACCTCTGACTTCAAATGAAGGCAAGGACATGTCCCTAAAGTATCAGCCGCAGCCTCTGTCCTTTCTCACGGTCACTCCTCAGTCTCGGTCACTCCTTCTCAGTCTCAGTCACTCCTTCTCAGTCTCGGTCACTCCTTCTCAGTCTCGGTCACTCCTTCTCAGTCTCGTCAGTAGTCTTCTTTCTGTCCACTCCTACTCCCCACTCATTCTCTCCATTGTTTAGTATTAGAGCTGTCCACTTCATAATGCATACATGTGTACACTGCACTTACTAATTCTTACCCATGTCGGCGTTGGTGGTGCACGCCTTTGATCCCAGCACTCGGGAGGCAGAGGCAAGTGGATCTCTGTGAGTTTGAGGCTAGCCTGGTCTACAGAGTGAGTTTCAGGACAGGCTCCAAAGCGACAGAGAACCCCTGTCTTGAAAACCCAAAATAAATAATCATTCTCACCCACACCCTCTCTTAACTCCCTCACACCCCTTCTCTACTTAACCCTTTCCACCTTTATGCTTGTTTTGTGATCCACCCAATTTAACCATCTGTATGACCATACAGCTGGGACTACCCATGGGAGCCTGGTGGGCTGAACACTGGGTGCACAAATGAAGACCAGGATCCTCCTCTCCCTGAATCGGAGTAGCCAGTAGTTCAGAGGCAGAGCCCATGATCCCCTTCCCCATTCACTACTGCTTGTTGATAGGGCCAGTCTTGTGCAGGCCCAGTACAGGTAATCACAGCTGCTGTAAGCTCATTATTGCAACAGTTTTGTCATGCCCAGGAGATGGCATTCTGCAGCCTTTCTTCCTGTTTAGCACACTCCCATTCTGCAGTGTTCCCCAAGCCTTAGAAGTGGTGGTATAGATGTCTTCTTCAGAACTGAGCATCCAACCACTGCTTACTCTCAGCACCTTGAGAAGACTGGAGTCTTTACAATCACAGCTGCTTACTGCAAAGCAGCCTGCTATTGAGGCTGAGAATAGAAAGCATTTGTCTAGGGTTAGAAACAGATATTTAGAAGGTAGTTTTGA